ATGGAGGAGGGGTTCCACCTTTGGAAAGGTGAGATTAAATTGCTAAGGGAAATGAGTGGAGTCAAGGATGAATAATGAATGGGGTGAATAACAATTTAACATATGGACCAGAGGGATCTCTTTGGAAACATCATTGAACAGTTATTTGGCCGATAACATAGGCATTTTCTTCCTAGCTGCCCTGTGTGTGTGTGTGTGTGTGTGTGTATTTGTATTCAAATTCCATTGTATAAATTTGATACTTTTAGAAACCTAGACTATGAGGTCTTGCCAGAACCTTCATTGTTATAGCTTCACTTGGAAAAACTAAGAGTCAAAAAGAGGAAGCTCTTTAGTGTGGGAGACAAGACTGGGGCAGGGACTCATAATCCCCCCGCACTGCACAGCAGCCATTAGCTAATTAATCTTTCATTTCCTCCCACCGGATGACCCAAGACTGAACCTGGATTAAGGTGAAACAGACTACACTTTATCAGCTTTCCACTTTTTCACTCTTCTTTTTTCTTGGTCTTAACTTCCTTCTCCCGTGAGTCCTCTTCTTCCTTTGATTCCATTTTCAGAAAATTTCTCTCACACATTTTTTTTTAATAGAGTTTTCAAGACATTTCTTCTACGTGGTTAATTCCCTCTCCTGGATGACTGCTTGGAGGAGGTTTATGTATTATTTTTGGCTTGGACACCCATTTCCTGCCTGTGAGTGACAGCAGAGACTGCCTCCCAAAATGCCCCGCAGTGCTGATAAGAGGAGCTGGCAAAGGGCAGGAGGGAAGCCACAAAGAGAGGTGGAATCAGCCAGCTCAGGGGAATCCAGCTACCTGCACAGCGGGATTCTGATATCTGAGAGGTGAGCTAAGGATTACTTCTCAGCATCCATTCATCATGAGGAAAGTGCTTGACATTTAGGAACTCAGAAGGGCTACCTTGACTAGTAATGGCATTGGACTAAGTAGTAACACATGTCAATTAATTCTTCTCACTGTTTCTCCCCTATCTGATGGGATTCTGGACAGCAGTGGTCAAGATATCTGAAATTTTTGGCATCATTTTAGGTTAAATATGCAACGATTGTTTCCAAGCGGTCTGAACAGGAAGAACATCTCTCACACTAGAGACCTCTTCCGCTACCTTATGTGAACTTGGCTTTGCGAGCACATGGCATCATTCTGACTCTGGTGACGTCCTGTCACACTGGAGTGGGTTTGCTCTTCTAGGAATCTCCTGCATGTCAGTGTGCAGGAGATGGTAATGGCTGGTGGGAGAGAGGCATGGATGGGGGCCAATGGGTCTTTATCCAACTCTGATAACCTGTGGTTTATACCTTTCCACTCTGTATCTATTATTTGGCTCAGCAAGCATTTTCAAAAGTGGAGATTTAGCAGATGGTATACATTTTAAAGACAGCTCAAAAGAGCCATTGCTTTTTGAAACCAAAAAAGCAGGAGTAAAATACAGAAAAATGGTAAGGGATTTGCATGACTTCTGAGCTCTAGGTGTGTAGTAAGGGGGCTAACAAGACAATGCATCCATCTGCTGGGCCAGAGGGATGGAGAATGAATGACTTTCAAAAAGAAAGAGGAAATGGAGTGTGCAACTGCTGCTGTTGCTAAATGGGGTTTCTAATTCTTTGCTCCATAATGATAATGACTTACATTTATATGGTGCCTTTCATCAGCTCTGATTTCAGGGAGCATTCAAAGTCCTCTCTTGATCAGCTCCTAAATCTGCTCCTGAGTGTGCTAAAGGATGATATCTATATTTATGCCATATCTTTTTTAGAGAAGACTAGCTCATGTGAAATAGGACATTAGGACATTAAGGGAATGAATCCAGAGTAGAGAATGAAAAGGTGAATGGAGAGAAATTGTGGGAGGCATAGACGCTTATTTCCAATTGTGACCCACAGCAGCATCCATTCCAACTGACATATTGACTCAAGGTCTCTGGAAGATCTTAATGCCTCCAGTTACGTCAGCCTCATCCCTTCTGCCTCTCATCTTCTAACAGAACTTGGCATTATTTGGAGTATATCCATAAAGATGAATGTGCTCCAGGAAGTCTTAGTAAATTCTGACATTGAGTTTCAAGTTCTACTAAAGACATTTTTCCCTGATGCTTTTGGGGTTCAGAAATAGAGGGGACATTTGGAATATAGACAAGGAAAGGTCAAGGCTTGCAAGGGAGGGGATTTGACAGATGGGGAATGTGGTCTGCTCCAGTAAAATACTCAGTAAGATGTGCAGGGACATCAGGCACAATTCACATAGACATCAAAACCACCAACAATTATGGCTCCTTAAAACACTGAGAAGAAAATAACTCAATAGACACAGTGGCAAAAATAAATCAAAGAACTGTATTTCAGCGAGCATAGAGGTGGAAATAGATATGTTTCTTGTCCATATATATGTTTCCTGATTGATACTTAGAAAAGGTTAGGCCATAAGGGAACTTTTTCACTGGTTGGGAATGGAATAAAAGAATGTCATCTTCCTTAGTTACTCTCACATGCACTCATTCTATAGTCACCATGCAGATGCTTGGGGGAGACATGTGGTCAGAGAGTAGATGGGATTCTGAGCGGAAAGGTAGTGATGGAATAAAGGAGCACTGGGCTGGATCCCAGGACCTGTGTTCCAACTTGGCCTTCACTAGTTGGGTGACAAGTACCACATGTGGGCAAAGCCCTGGATTTAGAATCAAAAGGGATAGAAATCTGATGTGTGCAGGTCCCTTGCTCTGAGTTTCAGTGTCCTGACATTGAAACTAGGGATGGAAATTCCTCTCTTTTAAGATTTCAGGGAGGGTATTAAGGAGAAATGTATGTGAAGGGGCTTAAAGAACTGAATCATACTATAGGAAAGAGTTCTGGCCTAACCCCTTGAGTTCCACATGGCAAGAAGGGAAAGGCTGTCATACAGACTAAGGTCATACAGACTGTCCATAATGGAGATAGACCTACTACTTCATTTTAGGCCTACTACTTCATTCCAGCATTCTTTCATGCCATTGTCATGATGCCAATTTCTTCCTACTACATGTTTGATGGAAAAACAAGTAAGAGGGGCAGAGGAGTAGGAAGAATCTTGAATAAAGTAATGATCACCATGTGAATGTAAACAGAAGGAAACCTGAAGAACCAGGGTGGAGGCATCACACTCATGCCCCAGATATGAAGTGACTGGAGATGAAGCCCAAGCTGGGAAATTTCAACCAGCACCCAGCGATACAGTCCACCCACCAAAACATCCCCATAAGAAAGCTGGGAAACCTAATAAGCAGCAATGACAGGTTTTAGCTTCTGAGATCTTGCTTCTCAGGTCTCTTAAATTAGAATTATGATTTGTAGGTTCTTAGCAATATCATACCATCATTATTTTTTACTTACACAGTGCCAAGAAAATATAAAAATAAGAATATCCATTGTCCATGGCTAGTTTTGGTCCTCTGGATCGACTGTATCATGTTGAAAGAGAAAGCAACAGTATTTCTCACGTGAAAGTTTAATCTAGTAACTCCTGTTCAGGTGGGCGCAATTTAGGCTTTGCGCAAAATATGAGACCCTTCAACAAAGTTTGATGATGAGAAATGGGAAAGCACAGATGAGCATATCCGTTTTGGGTACATGTGAAATATGGGCCATTTATCACCTTCAGCAAATGCAAGAGACATGACTGCTAATTGGTCTCTTCATTAACCAAGGAGAACATCTACCACTACAGCAACTCACAAGGTAGTGCAATTTAGGGTGATCTTTTAGTGGCTTTTAAATCATAAACATATTTCTTTCTGAAATCTGCTGGTCTAGCAAAGGCCCCTAATTCCTCATAAACAGAATGCTTTTACTAATTGCGGGTTCCCTGAAAAAGGAGAGGACAAGCAAGGGATATATCTCACCCACACAGGTGGAATGCTACAACCCAAACTTAAACATGGATGATTAGTCTTTGTATATCAGGCTTTGGCCAGAGGGTTTGTACTATTTGGGGGCAGTGGATACATGAGAAATTTTGTAGCTTCTGCAACTTCTGGGAAAGGAGTTTCTACTCTTTTCCTAGGAAACAAATGCTCTGTGCTACAGGAGTCTTATCTATGTGATCTGTGGGTTAGGGATGAAGGGACATGGAAGGAAAAGTGTGAGACTTCCACAGCAGGGAAGCGTTGTGTGAGTGGGGAGGCTAGCAAGCAAATCCTGCCAGTAACCAACAAGGAATGAGATCTTTCCTGTGGCAACCAATATGTCAGTTTAGAGATTAGTGAGCAAATCCCATTCCCAGGAGATACACCTTACTTTGGTAAGGTACTGTGGGGCAGGGAGCTCACAATACCTTTAAGCCAAGCTCTCACCCCTTCCTGCAGGAAAATGATAAATCAGGGCTTTGCTTGGGAGGGCAGAGGGAGTGGGGGATACCTGCCCAGGTGCCTTGTTAAATACCCAAGGGCAAAGAGGTCAATATGTCCTCAGGCTGTGTCTCCGTTTTCAGTTAGGTGCCTGGATTCATTGGTCATAAGTTTCCAGTGTCTCTGCTGCAGACATCTCACTTAGGATGTGTGACTTCTGGAGAAAACATGTCAGATAAACTAAATATTCATTCCTGTTTGGGATGTTTTTGTGATCTTACTGGTTTTCCTAGTGAGTTTTAGAGGCTTTATTCAGCTAGCAACCTGCATCGTCAGATAAGATGAGGACCCAAAAGCATCTTTCATAATAAGCATAAATGGGTTGGGAGTGGCTGTAGACTAGATAGCTGTAGGGGTTGCCTCTGAACCCACAGTTCTCATGCAACGACAACAATAGAGAGAGGGAAGACTGACTCCCAAGCACAGAACATATAAAATGAGCAGGAAACTCAAATAGTCAAGGAGATCCATAATCATTTGATGCCTGCTTCTCTGCAAACTAGCGAACACACTATGCTGAAGATGGCAGTTTCTTAAGTGCCAAGCCCAATAATTAAATAACATCATTCAAGTCAGATCATTCAAGAAATACTTGGCCTTACCTGGAGACAGGGAGGAGTCATAAGAGCTTCTCTCCTTGCGGTTCACCTTGAAGGCTTGGAGGTCCTTTTCCCTGTACGTCCCAAAGCCTTCATAGCTCCTCCGTTTACTCCCGGTCATGTCACTGTCCCACTTGTCACTCGAAGGGTTAATTTCACCGAACACGTCCAGGCTCTCCGGTCTTGTGCTGCCACCATCCCCTCCACTGCCAGAGTACCTCTTTGTGCACGAGTCTGCAGGCTCAGCGCTCAATTCCCCTTTGTCCTTGGCCTGCGTCCAATGCTGGGCATCAGAAAGAGACAGCGTAGACAGGGTATCCACCTCAAAGTTGTTCTTAGAAGCTTTGTGACCGGCTTCACTGTGCTGGTGCTTCTGTTTTTCCTTATGCTTGTTCTTCTCACTCACCAACTGGAGTTCTTTGTCTGCACCACTCAGTCGCTCGCTCAGGATGTGGCTGGAGAAGCCCGTGGCTTTGCCTGCAAAGAGACCGCTCAGGTTGTCGTGGGTCCCCAGGATTCGGTCTTCCTTGTGCTTATGCTTGTGTTTGTGTTTCCTCTTGTGGAGCCGACCGCCAGACAGACTGGCACTGCTCACCTTGGGAGGGTTCAGGGACGGCTGCATGTCGCCGAGGCTCATGCCTACAGGTCCCTGCAGGTGCACTCCATGCTTGGCTTTATGCTTCGCTGTACCAGACATCTTCACGTGGGAGCTTGTGTGGAACTGAGGTGGTGGCACTGTCGGCCTCATGAATGGGGAAGCTGCCCCCAGCGTGTGCGACAGATACAAAGGAGCTGGGTACTGACTGTAATAACCAAGGTTCATCATAGGCATTGACGTGTAAGGCATTCCATAGGGTGCATAGTAACTTCCACTGGGAATAGGGTAGCTGAACCCTTGTAAAAAAGGCACCTTTGTCATGGTGTCATTGGTTTTTGCAGGCCTACCACGCTTCTTCTTTGACTTCAAGTCTGAAGTCCTACGAAGATAGAGCAACGGGTCATACTGGATATATGGCACCGGGTAGTAGTGATCAAAATTAATCCGAAAAATGCTGGGATACGGATTCTCATGGTAAAAGGTGTAACTCCGGTGGGAGATCCTGAACACCTGGAACTTGGTGATGAGCTCTTCCAGGTCTGCCAGAAACTGGAGATCATCGCGGTTTTGCAGGCTTTTCCGTTTCCTCTTGTGCTTTGGCTTCTTGAGGCTTTCGTGGGCCAGAAAGTTGTCCACAATGAGATGCTTTTGCCGGTGGCCATGCCGGTTCTTTGTGCTGGTGTCAGACGGAATGGCCTCCGGGTTGTCCAGGGAGCAGAAATCAAAAGAGTACCTGCGTCGGGACTCTGAGCTCTTCTCCGCTTGGTCAGACGTGCTGTTGTTGTCCGTCCCAATGCCACTGTCGCTCGGGATGGTCTCCTCACTGTGCGACTCACTCACAGGGGACAGCGTGATTTCCTTGAGTGACCCAATCTCGCAAAGGTGTGAAGGTGAGTTGGCCATCAGTCTGGGTGGAGACAGCTTCCAGGTTCCGCTGTGGATTCCCTTTTGGGTTTTGGTTGGAAGAGCACTGATGGGCTGGAGATTTGGCATAGTTTTCAACTCTGAAAAATTGGTTTCAGTGCTGGCGGGGCTCAGGTTGCCATTGGACCCACCTAACTGTGTGGCAAGTGGGTGCATAGCTGCTGGTGAAGATGCCACAAGTGACTGAAAGTTGGAAGGCACGGCTGGAACATCCGGCTGGCTAGAGACAGGCCTTGGGTGCTTGATGGCTGTTTTGGGTTCTTCGGATGGGGGTGGCAGCTCTGCCCTTGGCTTCCGGCCCCTCTTCTTGCCAATGTAGATGGTTCCTCTCTTGCTGACGTTAATCTGCTTGCCCAGCTTGCTCTCGATGGCCGCTGCTCCAGGGCTGGTTTCCGGAGGCGCTTTGACCTTCAGAGCGATGTTGCTGGAGCAGGACAAGATCTGATTCAAGATATTTTTCCTCTTCAGTGTTTTCATCTTATTGATAGTTTTGATGGTCTTCTTATCCAACACCCCAAGCTTTCCAACTTTTTTGTGAAATTTCATCTCGCTCATAGGTTTGTCCTCTCCTGGCACCAGCTGGGCCAACTTGGCTAAACTGCGTCGTCTCTTTCTTTTCTTGGTGCCAGGAAACTCCCGGCTGATGGGGCTGACCGGACTGGTGGAAGTCCCCTCGTGAATTGTCTCAACCGTGAGCAAAGGCTGCTTCTTTGGTCGTCCCCGCTTCTTTTTGACTGGCGTGATCACAGTAAGACTGTCTGTGTTGGTGTACAGAGGGCTGGATGGGGTGATGGGATAGGCAGACGGCGGTTCGACCATCAGCTTATCGGAGGTGGCCATCACCGCCTCTCGAAGCATACTGGTGGGCTTGGGTTTGCTGCACGTCCACCGCCGTTTCGCAGCAAATTTTGGATGCTGGATTTCAGGCAGCTTTCTTGATGGCGAGTGATCCGTGCGTGTTGGAGGCGTCATGACCAAGGCCGGCTTCCGCTGCTTAGACATGCCTCCGGGGACAACCTTCTCAGCATTTCCACCGGTGTCAAGACCAACTGAGGGGGTCTCATTCTCTATCATTTTCCCCAACTTAGGAACACGGGGGTCTTTCTTATTTCCATCAGGGTTGGAGAGTATCCTATTTACTACCTCACTGCTCATAGAGATTCCAGAAGCCAGGGCTTTCTCTGGCATGATCTTTTCCACCACTGCTTTGATGGACGTTCGCTTTTTCCTCTTATGGCTGCTTGGGTCGAGACAGGGCGCCTTGATAGGAATAGTGATCCGGACATGACTTGAGTCATTTTCAGGATTACTCACGGCACTCACATTCTGCCTGGCTGGTGATGCCTCTTGGGCATTATCTGCAGAGTAGCCTTCCCTTTTCCCTTCTGTAATGTCAAATGCTTTCTGTGCATTCTTGACCCAGTCCAGGTCGGTGTTTGGTATGGTTTGACTTATCACATCTTTTTTACTGGACTTTTTCTTGCTGCTTATAGTAGGTGTTTCCAGGGGCTCCTTTGCACCCCCTCCATCTTGGTCTACCAAGGGCTGAAGCCCATTGCACTCGGCAGAGCTGCTGGGTGGGGCTGGTGAGCTGTGGTTGCTGGGGGATGGAACCACAGCTCCCAAGAGCAGATCTTTGCTGCTGTTGGACAACTGGCTCCACGTGCTTCCTGCACTGCCTTTCTTACCCTGGGCTTTTGCGAAGGAAGCCACGGGCTCAAGAGCTGGGATCTTGCTGGTGCTTGCAGTTTCTCTGCCAGACTCTGGACTGATGAAGCAATTCTGAGTGGCAGGTCCACTGTCAGAGTTGGTGGACCAGTCCATGTGATTCTGGCTGCTGCTTTTTTGCTGGTGCTTTGGTTTTAAGGTGTCACCGGTGAAGTCCTGTGGGAGGCCTGGGTCATAATGGAGAGCTGAGTGTTTCTGTGGCCGCTCGTAAGCCTAAGGGAGGTGAGTGAAGAGGGAGAGAGAAACAAAGATGAGCATGTTGGAGCTATTGAATGCTAAAAGGCTAAATTATTTGAAAGTTGGAAACAGATACCTTTAATTCTACAATGCTTTACAGGGGGTTTCTCAATTGCAGTAGTAAAAGTAGTATATTGCTCGGTTCTGAACATTAATAAGGATCTTTAATCACTGTCTTTCCACGCCCCTCTCTCCTCCCCCCAGAAACAACAGGAATCTTGACTTATCTTGGCTTAATGCAATCTCACAATAAGCACTGTTTAGGGAGAGGAAGGGCCGCTGAAGGTCACTCAGCCCAATGCCTACATTTTACAAATGAGAAAGCTGAACTTCAACAACGAAGAGTCCTGCACAAGGTGGCAGAGCCCAGGAGAAAATCCTGAACTTCCTGACTCCCAGCATTTTTTGCTTCTTATTTCTGTCCCTGCTTCTCCTCTAACACATGTCTTGCCCTTGCTTCCTTCCACTGCAGCTTATTTCTGTATGTACTTGATCCTGGTGTTCCACATCTCTGAACTCAAGCAAGTAGCTCATTAGGAACTACTGCAACAAGAAAAAAACAGCATGAGTTGAGGAGTTAAGGGGGGAGTATGAAGACTATGTAGGAGAAAGTGGGCTAGTCAAGGGCATGGAAAAGAAATGGAAGAAGGAAGAAACACTTAAGAATTGTCCCAAGACTTCAAATCTTTGCCAATTCCAGGAGTGGTGCTGTTTGGAAGTCAGCCTGCTAAGGTCTCCTTAATCCTACACTAGGTATTTCTGCTCTCTTAGGGAGCTCTTGGATAGTCACAAAAGGAACCTTGGGTGTCCTGGATAAATGTGCCAGAAAAAAATCATTGTCATTCAAGGTCACTGCTCTGAACTCTTAGTTGTGTTTTTGTCTACACTGATGCTAGATGACCACCTCCAGACTTAAGTACCTCCCCTAGAATGACTCCAGTTAAGGACAGCCGGAACCTATGCTGAAAGCACCACAGAGCCACTGTCCGTCACATCACAAAGGGACTGGACAGTGGATGCATCGCCCTGAGATAGTAAACCTATTTTTGATACAGATATGCTTGCAGTGTTTCAGATAGATTTTCAATATGCTAGCAGCACAAAGGTGCATTCCTCAAAGCTTATTAAAAGTCTTGTTTTATACATAGAGTTGTACATTTACAGTATGCATTATCCTAAGGCTTGTTAAAAAAGAAAACAAAATTAGAAAATTAAAGAAAGCTTTGGATAATATCCACACTAAGAAGTATATGATGATTGGCTTAGTGATTTTAGGAATTTTTAAACCTGGAATATGTATCTGTCTAATTATCCATCTATGCCTCTGCTGTCTATCTCTGTCTAATTACCTACATACCTACCTATCTCTCCATCCATTCATCTGTTCAGTCATCTATCCCTATATCAAATCTATCATCAAGCTCTACTCGCTATTGATACTTTAGGACTTATACTTTATTAGAAAACATTTCTTACAGCCCCTCTTAAAGTCAAAACACAGATGGCAGAAAGCATTACGGGTGAAATTCAGTGTACTAAAACACAACGAGGGTTTCTTTCACACTAGTTCCTGAAATCCCTAGGGTTGTTTTCTGCTTCCCTGATTTTATGAAATCCTGTTTATACTTCCAATATTGAACTATATTTTTAAAGAATCATGAGATAGTCTCCCCAAGCTAAGCCTGGAAGTACCCTGGAGAAAATTAAGAAAAAATATTAGCTAATTTTTTTCCTTCATCTTGCAGTTTAAAGATACCACCATCATGAAGATCCAGATAACTGATTCTGCTACTTGAGTTTATCTATGTGGTATTACTACTGTGGACCCAAGCTGTTATCCTACCCTTTGGAAAAAAAATCTTATTCACAGCATAGACTAGTAAATGCTACTTACTGATCATTTATGAATCAGGGTTTTGTTGATTCATCACATATGCTTTGGATTTTAGTTGGCACTAGGTATATATTCACAGAATGATGGGTCTAGAAGCGGACCTGGGGACAAAACTTTCTATTCCTTAGTGAGACAATGTAGTTAATTACTCATACAAGAACATTTTAGAGTTAATTTTTGGGTTCATAAAAAAGTACAGTGCAGCAAAAGGTTTAAGTTATTGTTTTGGACCTGGTTAAAACAGGACTTATAGCCCTCTTCTTTTCTTATATACCCTCCCTTCCCCTCTCTATTTGAATACTGAAGTCCACAGATGGGCTTCATGGTAAAGCAAAGACTAGAATCTAGGTTCTTGATTCCTACCAGTTTTCTTCGATTGCTCCACTTCTATTTCTTGGCACTGAACAGAGTCCTTAATGAACCAAGCTTAGCTCCATGCTCTATCTTACAGAAGCACTTCTAAGTTTTCATGAAACCATGTCTCTCATCTTTTGTGTTATTTTAGTTTTAATTTTACATTTGATCTGTTAATACCTGTTTAATACCTGTTTCCCTTTCTTAGCCTGTAAACACTATCACAGAGGTACCGAGCACAATACCTGGCAACCAGTAGGCACATAGTAAGTATGTAATGAATACATAAAGGAACATATATTTTACTATGCAGATATCAATCAGTCAATAGTGAGATTAATGACCTGTATATTGTGACATATTTTCTGCAGTCACCCCTCCAATCTAATTTCTGATGCTATTCTTTCTGCATGCACCACTGTCTCTCATAAAGACATCTCTCACAATCCTTATAATGTTATGTGCCATTTATTTGCATACTTTTCTGTCTCTCTCTTCTAGACACTAAGTATGTTGAGGTCAGAGACTTTCTAATTTATTTTCTTATCTCTAGTGCCTACTAAAAAGCGAACCACCCAGAAAGTTATCAATAAATGTTTGTTGAATGAATATACAAAATAATGTTTGGGATGCCTATTACCGTGACAAAATATATGGCTGCATACAAAAGACAATAAACTGTCAATCATTCCCTGGATAATGGCTCATAATGAAATTGAAGCACTCAGATGCATTAATGTTGAACAAAAAATCCTTCCCTGATACTTAAGACTAAAGACATTTGCAAGTTAACTCCCCTTCAAAGCAATTTTTACTGTTAGTCCTCCCCCACCTCTTGTTAATTGTTTCACTTTCCAATTAACTCTGCCTTTGGGGGAAGACCATGTGACCAGCAGGAGGGTGGATTTCACTCAGGCAATTGAAAGGTGGGGCCGCTCCCTTACAGGCAGGGCAGACCAGCTGAAAGTAATGCAGTTAAGCGTGCCTGGATCCCTGTGCCTCCATCTGGACACTGCCTGATCCCATTGTTTCTACCATTTCGCTGCAATTTGCCCTGCTGCGAGAGCTCTGCTATCAAAGGGCAGGGTGGACAAAAGGGAAGCACAACAAAGGATCAGGAGTAATAGGGGAAATGGTGCTTTCCACCCTGCACTCTGATGGGCTGCGGTGAAGGGGCAAAGAGGACTAAAAGCACTGCTTTCCGAGGGGCCGGGAGAACAGGCATCCTCCAGCCTTAGCTGATGGCTATATCCTGTTGAATTTCATGAAATCCCATTTCTTCATCTGTCAGCCATGACATATTACAAACACAATGGCGAGGCTGTCAGTTCCAATATGTCCTTCACTGAGAATTGAGCACTTACTCCATTGAGACATAGATGGACTGGCAAAACAGGCTGCTAGCTCAAGGCTGGGGCAAGCTCGAAGAAGAGAGAAGTACAGGCTCTCCTCCATCCTTCTCCAGGGGTCTGGGGATAGATCTCCTTATGGGGGAGGTGGTCTTTGAAGAGGGCCTTTATTAACTCATGTAGCACATGCTTCCATTTCCCTTTAGATTATGAGTTTTTCTGGGGGAGAAGTCCTGAATCTTTAAAGGTCTTTATACGACCCTCAGTCTTAAAATGGTTAGTAAATGAGAGAACAGTCAATGGTGGTCTACTTTGAGCTGAATAAAGTGTAGGACACTTTTAATGCCAAACATCTCTAAGCTTCCTCTCTGTTCTCCCCTCAAGGAGTTAATGTGAACCAGTCACATGGAAGACATGGCTTACTTTTATAACAACAGCACATTGAGGGAAGGCCAAGTATTGGTCAGTGAAACACCATTCTGAAAATGCTGGACAGATTTCTGTCTCAAAGTATACTTATGGAAGCAAGTTCTTCTGGGATGTGGAGAACTCTTTTGTAAAGTAGTTAACTATCTCTTTTCCCACAACCAAAGTATAAATCATATACATTTAAATTTTGCACAAGTCAGATTTCTTTTTAAAAGCATTTAATTTTTATCCATTTCTTTAAAACAAGCACTAGATCACTGCATAACAACTTAAAAGTTCATAAAAATGGGAAGAAAATGAATCACCCAGCCTTATTTCAGGCTTATCTAAAGTAATACTTGTCGCAATGAGAGAATAACATGGCTATTTGGGTCTGAGAAAACTCATATAATTCACCAAAATCAAGCATGACTTTTTGGGGGATAAACTTCTCTTTTGGGTTAGCTGTGTTTGTGCTTTCTGCTGACACCAATCATTTAAGTTTACTGTGTGTGAGATCTTTTGCATCACATAAGCAGGAAAATATGCCCGGGTTATAAAGGAATGAGGGTAGCTTTAGCTCTTAAATTGGTACTTGGTGCTTCTCTCCCCTCGAGATGTAGTCCTGGATTACGTTATCAGTATCATCTAAGTTAGTGGTTATTAATACAGATTCCTGGGTTCTACAGCAGATCCATCAGTTTGTAATCTCCTAGCGTGGGATCAAGGAATGTGCACTTACCATGCTCCCCAAGTCATTCTGATATACAATCTAGTTTTAAAATGACTGATCTAATGCTTTAACACCATTCCTCTGGGTGGGGCTCTTGTATGGTTGGTATACATTCACAGCACATTTTGGTGGTAAGTATATAGAGCTAAACCCATCATAGACCTGTTAGGATGTGCAATTTGGCACCATAGAACATTCCTGTTTTGCTTTTGGAACTCTTTTGTAATTTGCATAGTAC